TAGCCCCACGTGTTTATCGGCCAGGTTGGCACAATTAACTCACTCTCCCACTCCAGTTAACTGCCTGCCCTGCATCTTGTGCATATGGCATATGTCACATGTATTCTAAATGGGCACTTTAGGAAGTGCAAGACCATCAGCATCACTACTTCAATAAACCTTCAAGTCCAACCTACCAAAACCCCCAAGAGTCCTCAGGGCACTTCCCAGGAGCTAGATCCTCCTTAGATGGACCTGCCATGCCAAACTCATTTGCCTTCCACCAGGCTGGCTGGCTGGCACTCTATGGAGCAGTATCAGGTGGTCTGGGGTAAGTGACTGACTCGCCCTCTGCTCATTACCTCACTGTGGACCAGCTGACAATGGGAGTCAGCTCTGGGGGTGGTGAAGCCTTTTCAACAGATGCCTGGCACTCAGTGGGTGCTATGATGAGACTGCTTTCGCTCTCCGAATTCTGGATCTGAGCAGATCTGGGCCCTGGAGGGAGGGTTACCTGCCTGACTCGGCCAGCGTGGTGAGGACGCTGCCTGTGGGTTTCGTTCTTTTTCCATTGCATCAAAGGCCATGCAGAGACCAAGCCCAGATGTTTGAGTCTGTTGTTTGCTTGGGTATTGCTTGTTACAAAGTTCAAACCACACAGGGGAGCGTGAGCCAGTGAGCCTGTCTTTATCTGGGCAGCATTTACCTTGGAACAAGACATGCCTGTAGAAAGCTGGACCACCACCACTGGGCTCGGTCCGGCCCCCCCTTTCCCTCTACAAAGCTACACTTCCTTCAGACAGGTAGACATTAGATCGTTTCAAGTTTAAGGGATTTTAGAGTTCTCATTCAAGTCCCTACATTCCGTATTATGACTCAGTGCTTTCTCTTCTGGGATGGGGACTTCCCATAAGCAACTGTTCTTTCCCACAAGGCTTGAGGAGCCTGACTTTGGTCCCCTGCGGTGCTGCCCAGGGCAGCTGAGTGGCCTTAGCTGTAATGCATCTTAATTTTTGGATAGTCAAGGCCACCCAGGGAGGCTTCAAGTGACTCCAAATCCTCCTGTCCAACGTAATTGTTCTGGACAACACCTGGTTCTCAGACACCCACCCTCCAGCTGGGTGAGGAAGCCTGATTTCTCTGACAAGCACAAGAAGTTAGCGAGTGTTTCTCAAGGTGTTTACAGAGTTCAGGTCCCGAGAGGGTGGTTTCCCAGAGCGGAAGGAGCCTGGCTTTGCTCACCAGGTAAAACACACTGCTTATAAGATGTAGTCATGCTTGAAGGAGGGCACCTGTGCCGCTTT